GCAGCCAAAACAGTGTTTTGGAGCAGCAAAAGTGGCCTTTGGAGCAGCCAGAACAGTGTTTTGGAGCAGCAAAAGTGACTTTTGGAGCAGCCAAAACAGTGTTTCAGAGCAGCAAAAGTGGCTTTTGGAGCCACTTTTGCTGCTCCGACAAACAAAGTGCACTTGGTGCTGTGTTGTGACGGAACTCACTGTTTGTGTTTTTACTGCTGAGACATCCCACAAGTGTACAGTGTTGTAGGCAGTGCCGAGCAATCTCGAAAAGAACGCTTGCCACCGTTTTACTGGTTCCCGACGTGCCAGATTTTCGTCAAAAGGAAGCAAAAGTAAAACAATGAATGGCAAGCGTCTCGGCTGGTGCCTTTGTGGTGCTGTCATGTTCACATGCACGTGAGGGCAAGTTCAGCAGGCTTGCAGTGGCACGTGCTTCGTCGCGCGAGCGGAGACAACGGCTGTTCAATCGAAACCGAAATAATGCCATTCCCCTCCGTCGCCAACTGATTCCCAAAATAGTATTCAAAATGTAACTGTCCAGCGTACGACAAAAACAAGAAAGAACAGTCGGGCGGCGCGTGCTTGCCAAGCCAGCAGGCGAGGTAGAATCTAAACGCACACAAAAAAAGAAAAGAAAAACCTGAGCGCATCAATGCATGACTTCACGAGCCAGGATCAAAAAGTTCTTGGAGCGCTTTGTGCAAAGACTAAACTCGAGACAAACAAGCGCGATGTTCGGGTTCAACATGCACAGATTGTCTTCTTTGCTTTAGCTCACTTCTCTTCATCAACTTTGTTTCGCGGCAGATTTTTCACGTACCAGGGTCCCTCTCGAAAGAAAGCCCACCGAGAGAAACCTAGGTAATCAATATTTCTACAAGCAGCTTTTGTAGTAGAGTATGATTTAGAAAAGGGCAGGAATGTCGATGAACAAATTTAGAAAGCGCCATATCTGCAGCGACGTGGGAACGGCAACACCCGACGTCGCGTGACCACGGTGACTGTGTTCGCGCGAGCGTTTCAGCTCACAAAGTAACTTTTGCCACCCAAAAACGTGGTTTTGTTTCACAGCATGACGGCATGGCTGGCACCCGGCACACTAGCGTCGGAGCGTCAGCACACGCCTGCGTCTATCGTTGAAAAAATTTTAAAAAAAGACGCGAGACGAGATTTCTGAGACGACGAGGGACGAAAGCGCGAAACGCGAGACAAACCACTGGGAAAAACCATGCAAGACCGGATGGACGATTGATGCAGGGTACTTTGTGTCGGGTGGCCGCTTGCACCACCTAGCTCACGCATGCTCAGTTACTGTTCTCAGTTTAGTTTAGGTTTTGAAAGGCAACCGAAATAGGTCCTTTGGCGCAGGCGTGGCGCAGATTACCCATATTTTGGCAAAATGTAGCAGGATGTAGCAGGATTAGCCCCTTGGCGCAGTTTGGCACAATTGGCGCAGCAATCACATCACTGCGTTTGTCAGCGCAGTGGAGTGGCACTAGATTGACCTCTTCCCAGATTCTCAGAGAAGGCCTTTGTAAGCCCACTTATGTCAACACACGGTCACGGGCCTTGGTTTTCTTACCGTAAAATACAGGGCAAGCGCCCACTCAAAATATAGAGATAACGAAAAAATGGGGGATGGGCGCTTGTCCGGTCATTATTTTTACATATAAATGTACTGCGCATATTTTCTCAGATCTTAGAAATTTGGATATGGGCGTTTAATGTGGAATGGGCGGATGCGCGGAATTCTGCGGTAGGTCAGAATTGGGAAAAGACTCTCGAGGGCTTACCTGCCTCGAAGCACTTTCAAGATAACTACTGGCTCACCAATATGGGATTTTTATTTAATGATGTAAAATAGCCGAGTGATAACTAACAATTTCGCCAAAAGCATTGTTCTAGGAATTTTAGGTTTTATTATGCCGGGTGTTTCGGTGAAGGCTTTCATAAAACCCTAAAACTAGGCTGGCTGAGTAAAAAAATTAACTCTTTCCGGGAACAAACTGCCAGCCAGAGTGGACGTCTAGGATTGCAAAAAACATACAAATTATCTAGATAATGACCTAAAAAATTGCTAATTAACTTTTGAATTAGCTTAAATAAACATGTTTTCAATTATAAACTTGTTAAGCATCATCAGAAATCACTAAATCGACTAATTTTAGAAAGATATAAGGCACGGGCAACATTTTACGGCACACCGAAAAAACACAAAATTTGGACACATTTTTTGGTTTCTTATCGGAGCGCATCCTTGCACCTGCGGTCCTGCTCTCCAGTGGCCGAGACGTGCAACACGTCTGCTTCCCACCATCCTACGAGGGAGGCAGAGCAGCGGCTTCACGCCTCGGTCACCAGGCGTTAGGACCACGGGCGCAAAGAGTTCTAGATGACGTGCAAAAGATCTAGTTTTCCCGTATAAATGTATTCATGGATTAATCTATTGTCCTGATCTCACACCAGCTATTAATATTCATGTTCCGAGACAATTTTTGCCGATTTCTCTGACTTTTCCTGTTAATCAAATCATCCCAACCAGTCCCGTGACCCGCATTCAACACTCGTATAATTCCCTCGGCGTAGCAGATGTTGATGTTTTTAATCCAACTTTTGTGGCGTTTGTGACCATCCTGTGATCAGTCTGTTGTGCATCCTTATCGAGGCATTAAGCTGTTCATGAGCACAAAAAATAAACAAATGAATGAATGAAATGAAGGAAGGATGCGCCCTTATAAAAAACCGAAACTTAGAAACACATCAAAATTTAGTGTTTTTTAGAAACGCCGTAAAATGTTGCCCCTGCCTTATATCTTTCGAAAATTAGTCTATTTGGTAGGTTTCGATGATGCTTAGCATGTTTTTCATTGAAGCCATGTTTATTTGCACTCGTTGGAAAGTTTATTAGGTGATCATTTAGCTAATTACCATGCTTTTTGCAATCCTCGACGTCCACCATGGCTGGCAGTTTGTTCCCGGAAAGAGTTGCTTTATTTTTTAGCCACCCTATTTTTAGGAACTTTTGAAAGCTTTCGCTGAAACATCTTGTACAATAAAGGTTTTTTTCATGTGTCTCGTAGTTTCTCAGGAGTCGTCATAATAAGAATTAGCATGAGCGACATTGCGGCATCTGTATTTGGCGCATTACAAATGTTAAATTACAGTAGAATCTCATTAATTCAAATTCTCTTAATTCAAACTTGCAGATAATTCGAATTAACATGCAGGTCTCGTCCTATGTGTTTCTAGGAAGGAAACTTCCTGTAATTCAAACTTTGCATTATTCTAACGAAGTTCTGGTCCCCCTCGGGTTCTAATTAATGAGATTCCACTGCATTTTATTTTATGGGCAATGCTATAAGTTGATGAACAAGAGTCACGTGTATGTCCATGATTTAAACTAAAAGCAACAATACATGCAAGTTGATATACAATGACATTTTAGTATTGGAGGTTTGGAACAGGCGAAATTCGCGACTCCAGTGGTCTCTGAAGAATCCTACTCCTTGGGGAAGTGATGGAACGACATCGGGACGGCCTTTCTGCCGTCCCAATGAACGTTGAGGAACTAATTAGCAATGTTTGACCTTTCATATATTTATTTGATTTGCTAGTAGGCCAAAAACCAACAACATAGAATCACAAGAGCCACCAGTGATACTGGTTTTCCTGCTAGGTGACATTCGTTTTCCTGGAACACACCTGTGTTTGGAAATCTCCTTTGTGTGGTCCCTCCTCTCCCCACTCTCAAGGTTCGAGTGTCACAGTTGAAACTCTGCACAATCTCCCTCCACGAATCTGCACCCCCCCCCCCCCCCTGTGAGCTATTTTGTAATGATAACACCATCGCCTAGTAGTAGTGCTAAACAGCCAGAATAAATAAAACAGTGTAAATAAGGACACAAGTACAGGTGGAAGGCACAAACACAAAAAAAAAAACTTTTTTTTTGTTTTTTTGTTATGCACTGATTTATTTAACTACTAGTACAGTCGAGGACAAAAGTTCCTGGACCACGGGAGCAGCGGCCGATAAGCATTGCTGCGCCCCCTGATGGCGCAGTGCCTGCTGTCGAGACCGGCGCTTGGCCCATTCACGTCCTTCCTCAGTCGCAGGGATGTCGATTCTTTTGTGTCCGGCAGCCGCGCTGCGATTCTCGATAACTCTAACCTGGCTGGTCCTGGCTTGCCGCGCCCGTGAATCAGCAGGAAAAAAGGATTTGCGGATCTCGCATAGCGCCGCTTTTTTGGCAACTCTCTGGCCAACTCCGACTCCAGCTATTCTTTTTTTTCGTCGCCGGCACTTTTTAGACACTTTAAGAACGCAGTTGTCACGCATCGCATTGCAGTAAATACTGTGGTTTTTTTTATTTGCATAAAAATAAAAATAAAAACACAAATCCTTCTTTTCCGCTGATTCACGGGCACAGCCAGCCAGGCCAGCAAGCCAGCGCTGCTTCTTAGCGCGATCTCTGGCGCAGCTTGGCGCGGCCGCACGGATGCTTCTGAAGCGGCACCACGCGGCAAGTTATTGGGAATCACAGCAAGGATGCCAAAAACTAAAAAGTCGGCATCCCTGCGAGTATGGAAGGACGCGCGTGCGCCAAGCACCGGCCTTAACAGCGGGTGCAGCAATGCGTATCGGCCTGTCATTATTTTAGTCTAGCACAGGCGTTTTAGAAGCTTTCTATCACGAGAAACGATGGTGAGCTGAGGAACCCCTCCCAGTCTAGGCAATGGTGCAATAAAACAGTGAAGGAGCCTGCAGAGCTTGTAAACTATGATGCTCTCGCTAAGGAGTGTCTGTCACATTGTTACGCATCAACGAATGGCTTGGGTCTACTAAAATACTCTTTGAGCTGGAAGGACACTCCAGCTAGGATCGGAGACGGCCGAGGAAATGGGGGGAACCCCCACAGTGCTCCGGGGAACCCAGTTAGAGAACCCCTTGCAGAATGACTCTCTAGGCCAACAAAGAAAACGTTGAAAAGTCCCAACGTCTCTCTGTGCAGATGGCTACAGCTACGAGCGGGCGGCCATCACCCGCTGGCTGGAGAGCGGCAAGGACACCAGCCCCATGACGAACGAGACGCTGGAGCACACGGTGATCATCCCCAACCGGACCCTGCACCTGCTCATCCAGAAGTACCTGGCCTGAGACCCGTCCGGTCCAGGGGCGGCCATCTGGCTTTCCCACCACTGGGAGGAGCCACCGAATGAGCTACGCTTTGGGTTACGGACACTTTGGCCGTCTCGGTGCTTGAGGTCGTCGTTGCCAGTTGTACAAAGGTTTATCCAAGATCGCAGGAATCTTTTTTCCGTCCTTCAGAAATGTTACCCTGGTCTGCGACGGAGCGAAACGACGTCGCCCGGACCTCCCGACACCGTGTTTAAAGCTCCACACCAAGCACCAAAATGGTGGCGCCCGTAAGAAAGTCGGAAAATGGTGTGCCGGTGCTCTAAGCGTAGCTCATCCAGTGTCTACATGCACCGTCATCTCCTTGACAAGACCCCTCCTTGCATTGTGTGACGTTTGGCGAGTGTACAGTGTTGTTTCTAGCTCCTCTTTGTGAGCATTTTGCCGGTGTGTGCTCCTGCTTTGGGCATTTTGTTTAGCTTTGCCTTCTCGAGGCGTCTCTTAGTGGACGAGTCAACGGTTCCTTCCGTTGCATGTGGAAAACTCAAGAGTTATATTTTTTAGGTGGACTATAATATGCATTCTAAACGTGCGTAAAGGATGACTTTTTGCGAAAGCTGCATTTAACGGTCACTTAATGAAGTTCTATATGCGCTAAAAATTTTTTTATTTTTGCCAGTTTGCGCATATTGTACCGTAATATTTCAAGAGATGCGTCACCCTCGGAATTTAGCCCCACCCCAGTTCTAGGCATGATTTTCTTTTCTGTTCGTGCCAAAACCAGCGAAAGATAGTCCATTCCTAGAAACTATGCTGCTCAGGGGACTCGGGCATTAATGGAGCATCTCCTTTAAAGGGACGCTACGGAGCTTCTTGAAAAAAATGAGTTGGAAGTTAATTCCACTGTATTTTTACTCCGTTAACCCGAATACCTAAACCATTTGCTGCGCAAGTATTGTTAGACGCGAGAAAACGCAAAAGACAGTTGCTGTTTGTGACGTCATTGACGGATCTTTTGGCTGCCCAGGGCTAGGGAGGCGGGGCTTCAGCCCTATCTTGAAATTGCTCTTATGGCCCTCCGGCGCATTGCATTGAAACATGATCGTGATATCTGTTATTCTAACGGCCAAGTGAACACAATTCAAGTGTTTTTTCTCAAATGCAGAACCGCCCCATCTTTCCTTTAGCCACTGTTATCGAGCTGTATTTGCCGAGCTTGTCGAAGCCTTCGTTGGGGCCATTTAGAACCGACCAAAGTTACTTCGATGCTAGGTCTGTCGGCAGAAAGCACTCTTGTCTAAGGAACATGCAAAGAAGAGCCATTTCCAAACGGCAGCATGGCAGCTAGAACGGAACAAAAACGTCCAACCGTGACTTCAGTGCTGCTTCTCTATTGCTAGGATGTTGGATGTGATATTGAGGCCTCAAAGCTACAATGGGAAAGAAAAATGGTGGCGGCTCAATCGACGGCGGCAGTCTTGTGGGCAAATGGTACAAACTATGTCAAAAAAATTTCTGGTTTGGACAATGTTTAAATTTTCAGTCCTTGTTATTAACCCCCTGGGCAGAGGATATACAGTCGACTCTCGTTAATCCAAAATCTCTTAATTCAAACTTTCGGATAATTCAAACTAACGTGCAGGTCCCATCCTATGCGTCTCTGTGGGAAGAAACTCCTGATAATTTAAACTTTGCTTTATTCAAACAAATTTTCGGCCCCCCTCGAGTTTGAATTAATGAGAGTTGACTGTAATCCCACGAAGACGTCCGAAAAATGGGTTGGCGACTATAAAGCAATTTTTGCATTATGATAGCATCTATGACAAGTTGGGTAAGTAAACTGCAAAGAAACCGACTTTCACATTCCTTAGAAGACTGCACATTCCCGGCTTGGCTACAATATTATTTTTAACTTTTTCGTTCTCGCTTCGAAAGTTAACCCGCCCTTTATTTACCCACAATTTGCTCTGGAATATAAGTAAGCATTCTCTCGAGCTATTACAGTAGTCTGAACAAAATGGTGCCCCTGGCAGGCAGCATTTTGTTTACATCGGTCTAGATTTGTGCAATAAAGGTTTAAAAGGTCCTATTCTTAAAGCTTTGAGCGTATAAAGCATGGCTGGTCAAGCTGTAGCCCTACTTGCTGTACCTTGTAGCCCCCATACAGGTATGAAGCCCTTCAGCTTTCGCAGCCACCATTGCAACCTCCAATTAGTCAGCAGACTACAACCACACTTATTGTTGGAGTTCATTTGCCCACATACAGTTGAACCTCGATTTAACAAAGTCACCGGGACCCGCTAATTACTTTGTTAAATCGGGAACTTCGTAAAATCGAGGAAGGAAGACCTCGCTCATAGGCTGCGCAGGGAATCCGCATTTGTTTGTTAAATCGGGAAATTTGTGAAATCGGGTTTCGTTAAATCGATCTAATCTTCCGAGAATTGCCAGCTATTGAAAAAATATGAACTAAAGCCAGAGTGCAGGCAAGCTCGTAAGTCTTGGAGTGAGGGTTCATATATTCGGAGAAAATATTTTTTGAGGTTCCAGAAAGCAAACGGTTGCTATCTGTAGGAGAAAGGGTCTTTGTAGCAGAGGTCATTACTACATCATTATATTGTATTGGGGTTCTGGACAGTCCTTCGAGGAAAAATTAAATGGTTTTGGGTTCTGTTAGCCTATAGGTGTTGATGCACAAGCTTTCTTTTCACTGTGCAATTTAAAAAAAGGACCGGCTAGTCTTTTTCTCCTTTGAAAAGCTTGGCAACCTGACCATGGCGTGAGGCTGTTGAACTGTGGCTGCAAAGCACCGCAACTGAGCGCAGCTCTAGATTAGATATCTGCACTGCACCATCCTCGGACTTGCACTCAATTAAATCGACTATTGATGGACGTTCAGCAGCATCATTCCCATGCCTTTGGAGTGCCCCTTCAGGCATCTGTATTTGTCCAATGGTTACGAGAAATTTTTATGTGGCCGGGAGCTTGCCTGGAAATACATATGGATGCAAAATATTGCAAGAAGTCTGGTATACGTAAACGAATCTGTGTTCAAAAGTATGGAGGCATTTCTAGTCAGTGTATTTTTTGGTTTTTTCATGTTTTTTGTTTAAAGGAAGTTTTTGGAGTAAAGGAAGTTTTTGGAGAAAAAGGGTGAAAGATCACAAGCCTGTAAGGTGAGCTCCTTCCTGGCTCCTAGGACTGGGCTCATATGTCAAAGTACTACCATGTTCTAATAAAATGATCTCACTACAGCCACACTTTGGAGCTCTGGTTTCCATGGTATGTAATCATCTGCTGCACAAGACGGCCACTTAATGCTTCTAACCACCCTAGGTAGCTGCACCTGTCATCCAGTGGATCCGCTAATATGCTTAGAGTTCTGTAACATTGCAACCGGTGAATTTGAGCTTGAGACAGAAAAAGGTGGTCGGTTCTGACGGGTTGCTGTGCAGGAGCAATGGTTGAACATGGCCGTAGGATCAAAGGTGCATCTGCCTACCTAAGCCCAACGTTTTTTGCACATGAAAAGAGCATGAGGACCTTGGAGTCTGCCAGAAATTCCTGTCATGAATGTACCTCTGCAACTTGGCAAAAAATTTCATTGTTTTTGTGAGCGAGACTAGCGTTCACTGTTCTGGTTTTTTACAAACTGAAAGCTCAAATTCACAATGAACAGGAAGATCGACATCGGGACAAATAGCTGTTTCCCCAACCACCTTGCAAAATGTCTCTTGGGAACTTGGGGCCAGGAAGATGGTGCTAGGGTGGCAGTTGTGAGTCTGATGTATTTTAAATAAATTTCAGTTGACAGGGATGTACTCAAATAAGCAATGTTTAGTAGCTCTCAACACCGAGAGTTTTCCCATATAGTGCTCAGTGCCGGTACAGTGTTAGTCTTGGATATGGAGGTACAAGTTGATATAACTGCCTCCTGTCGAACTGGCAGAGGAGGTTGCCTGTTGACTTGGTAGACGCCCGAAGTGGACAGGGGACTACTTTTGGACACTAATCAAAGTTCAGACTGGAACAGTCGTGTTATGCATTTGTGAAAGCACACTACTTCGTAAATAGTGTTTCTTATATACCGGGTGTTTTTTTTTTTTTTGTTCTTGCAGATTTGTTTTAAAAAAAGCCGTGAAAGCTACAGTTATGCGGTTTGTGCGAGTGAGTTATACGCCCAGGGGGACATTATGTGGGTGGCTAATCTTGGCGATAAGTCGGCTAATTAATTAAAATTCACTAATTAACTTTTTTAATTAGTGAAAATAGACGCATGGTTCCAATTAGAAACTTGCTGAGCGTCGTCCAAAGCCCCTAAATAAGTCATTTTCAGGAAGACTGAGCGCGTGAAAAGCGTAGTATTGTACTAAAGTTACCACTCGTGGAGCAGGTACAAGGCTGGGGCAATATAAGAGACGGAAAAATTGCGCGTACGCCTTACCGAAACCGCTAGCTTTGTACCTGCTCCACAAGTGGTAACTTAAGTGCACTATTGCGCTTCTCACGCGCTGAAAGTGTTTCTGAAAATGACTGATTTAGGAATTTTGGACGACACTCAACAAGTTTTTAATTGGAACCATGTCTATTTTCACTAATTAAAATTTAATTAGTGAATTTTAATTAATTAGCCGACTCATCGCAACGATTAGCCACCCACAAAATGTCCCTCTCGGCGTATAACTCACTCGCACAAACCGCATAAGTGTACCTTTCATGGCTTTTTTTAAAACCAATCTGCAAGAATAAAAAAACAGCCTGTATAGTAGTAAAGTTTTATGTAGCGTGCCAACTAGAATCGTTAGGCTGTATCACCTGGCATCATCACTGGAAAAGATTCATGCAACAGTCCTTCATAGCTTGAACATGTGGATTCTAGCCTTTAAAATCATTGAAAATGTGCAGAATTATCTTGTTTCAAGCTAAGAGTCTCACATTCTGACATGCATAATTTAAAACAAAGTTTGGGAAAGTTTTTTTCTTCTATAATTTTTAAACACTTGTAAGTTACAGAACATTGTGATGGCTTCCACAGTGAACTTCACAGGAAAACACTAACGGTGTGTCCTTTGGAGCAGACACTTGGAGCATTTTTTTGCTGGAGAACCATGGGGATCATCTGGATATTCATCTCCAACAATGTGGTAGAAAAACATAAAACAGATATGAAAGCATTTTTTTCTTCCAACAGCGTCAAGATATGTCTACTATTTATATTCAGTGCCGCAGCAAGTCCCTGTGGAACTGCTGTAGAACCTTTCAAGTTGTGCACGTTGAGAATGTCCATAGACAGCAAATTTCTTAGCTGCCCAATATTAAAAGGCAGCTCCGGTGAATATTTTCGAATTTGGAATTATGACTGTTTTCAGCTCAATCAATGTCCCTGAATTGCAAGGTGTTTTTTTCCTTCGATATTGTGTGTAGTTTTACAAATATCGCGGCTCAAATTTGGTTTCTACAGAAAAACAAACTATCTGTGGTGCTACGATACGCTGTGGAACGTGCAAAATCAGCCACAGCACCACCGTCGCCACCATGACGTCACATCAACGGGGTGCTGTGGTCCTGTTAGGCCACTGTAGTCCTGTGGTATGCGGTTCCTATGTTTTTTACATGTACTACTGTCAGCCATCATTTGGCAGCCAAGGCAGGAGCAAGCATACCACAGTGGAACGGAACAGTAAACTTGTTCCCTCGTTCATAAATTAAATAATGGAGACGTGTCAATTAACAGCTGGAACTATACTTGTTTTTATGTCTAGAACAGTAGTTTAACAAGGTTCGGCTTCTTGCGGACTGTCGCTAATTTTTCCCGTTGTGTGGTGAAGGTAATTGCAGTTATTTGTTATGTATATAGATTTCGAGTGCAAAAAGCATAATTTTTTCTCAGACAGTCAAGTCTTGTAAGAACTACTTAGTGCTGCGGAGGGTGACGAGTGTTGTCAGCCCTGCATAGTGTAGGGCAGACAACGTAGCATTACTTTATACCAGAGGTCGGCATTTCAGGTCGCCCTCACTCACCCTCACCCTCACAGCCACACTCACCTAAGCCCCTCACTCTCCCTCACCCTCACAGCTACACTCACCTTCAGCCCCTCACTTACCCTCATCCTCACAGTCACACTCACCTTCAACCCTTCACTCACCCTCACTGAACCTCACGGCCCTCACGCACTCACAGCCCTCACGGCCCTCACGCCCCTCACCGCCCTCACGGCCCTCACGCCACTCACCGCCCTCACCGCCCTCACGCACTCATAGCCCTCATGCCACTCACCGCCCTCACGCCACTCACCGCCCTCACGCACTCATAGCCCTCACGCCACTCACCGCCCTCACGCCCCTCACGCACTCACCGCCCTCATGCCCCTCACGCACTCACCGCCCTCGCGGCCTTCACCCCTCACGCCCCTCACGCACTCACCGCCCTCACGCACTCATGGCCCTCACGCCACTCACCGCCCTCATGCCCCTCACGCACTCACCGCCCTCGCGGCCTTCACCCCTCACGCCCCTCACGCACTCATGGCCCTCACGCCACTCAGGCCAGCTTCAGATGGGGCGATTTCGCCCAGAAACTTGACGTCGCAACACCAGCAACACGGGCCACCCGCGATCACACGCAGCAGCCAATTGCTGGAATTTGACATCATAAAATTTTATTTTTCTTGCACTATTTTTATGCATCTAAATCCCGTTAAGAATACTAATGCACCTTTCTGAAACAGTTTACTTCCAAAAACAATCGATTTCAAACCAGAACCAAGTCTTTCGGTGTCACCATCTCCAGCACGAGGTATCACGTGAAACTTTTGCGTCCCTGATTAGATGCAGCCGCTTCAAACGTCTTCGAATTGCTCCGAGTTGCTTGCTTATTTCGAGCCGGACCTGATCTCAGCAATTCGTGTCGATCTAGGGAAAGCTAGAGAACAACCCGCCATGAACACTAAAATTGCCGAGAAAGATGCTCCGTCTGAAGGGGGCCTCACGCACTCACCGCCCTTACGCACTCATGGCCCTCACACCCCTCATGCACCCACCGCCCTCACGGCCCTCACGCCTCTCATGCCACTCACTGCCCTCACGCACTCATGGCCCTCACACCCCTCACGCACTCACCGCCCTCACGCTACTCACCACCCTCACGCCCCTCATACCCCTCACGGCCCTCACCGCCCTCACTCACCCTCACACTCATGAATTTTCTTGGTTCAGAAACTCACTCACCCTCACCTCACCTGTGAAGATGAGGGTGAGTGAGGGCCCTCATGAGTGAGGTTTGCCGAGGTATGCTTTATACACCAACACATGTTTACAAACAAACCAGAGCGCCCCTAGCGTACGCCACCGGCGCCGCACATGCGCGATGGGGGTGTGGACAAGAAGCTTGCCGTCGCCCATAAACAAACCGTTGAAATGCGATGTCAGCGTTGGTGCGAGTCCCCGCGCTCTTTTTTGCGTTGGAATTGTTGATTCTACGTCCTCCTAACGATGTCTGACTACCTGAGCGGCGTCAGCGAAATTAACGAGGCTCGATACACCGCAAAACTTCGCATGAATAATCTGACTTGCGGCGATTCATTCCGCGTGGACGCCGCAGAATGTACGCTAAAGCCTGATTCACATGATGAGATTTCGCTCGCAATTTTCAGTAGCGACGTCGCTCGGACTGCAAAAGTGTGAACCGTAGCTGAGATGGTCGACGTCGATACTGAAAATTGCAAGCAGAATCTAACCAAGTGAATCAGGCATAACAAGTCGGTGATGGCCACTGGTAACAATGATCAACATCTCCTTGTATCTACTGTTTACGTCGAGCCTGCTTACCAACCTTCAAACTTGTCTTTTGAGGCCTGCACTTACTTCTTATCGCAAGTACCAGGCCCACGTTTGGTCTGCGGGCCGGTGTCCTCTAAAAGAGCAGACGACAAGCAGAAACGTTTGAAAGAGCAGACGACAGTTCGAACGATCAGGCGACCGTTTGAACTTGAAGACGCACTGAACGTAGTCCGCAGGTGGTCCGTACAACTTGACGATTTTCCGGCGTTACTTTTGAAACAAAATAAATAAATCTGATGGCCAGAAGTATCCGTGAATTCAACCCAAAATGCTTCCCGTCCAAGCAATCGTGGTACGATGGCGTCTGGTTTTCCCTTTTCACGGCACACGTCCTCGGACGAATCGAGCGCATGAAAACTGACCTTCAAACCTTTCTCGACCCTTTTGGTACAGCCCCAGTCGCAGCATTTCGACAAGGC